GATCTTGCTACGGCACGAGAAGTGCAAAAACGCATAATCGCACCGGCCCGCCTGGTGCGTTCCAGCTTGGGTTGAATACGCGTTTGTGTTTTTGCGTACATTTATGTACGTTTGAATATATGTTTGTATATCTGGAAGTGATAAGTGATAAGAGGTATGTCTTACTGATCTTACACGAAGTATATCCTATAATAACTGAAAGTGATAAAAAAGCCCGAGGTATGTCTTATTAGCAAGTCACACGGATATTTTGAATACTTTCGGTGGTAATAAAATTACCAGTTTTTCCATCGCATATGCTTGACAACCAGACGAGTGCCTTTGCCCTCAACATCCAGTAATGTTAATATGTATGTAGAATCCTTGTTCTCGTCAACTTCCGCATTTTTGATTTGAATCTCTGCAAATTTCATCCACTCCAGTTTGAGTGGTTGCACGGAATTGTGAGGATGAAAATAGAGATAAATGGAGAAGTTGTCAACTGCATCAGTGGCGAGTAGAAATGCAATTGCAAAAAAATAGCTCATCCGAGTATCGGAGAAACATTGGATAATCATTATTTTTGAATAAACGGCTTATGAGAACATAACTTATTTACGCCAATGGTGCAACAGAATTTTTCAGAATTTGATAGTTAAAATGAACTCTTAACCTCCAAATGTAAGCGATGAGCCAGCTTCGGCTGGCCAGTATTGAAAGCACTTATTTTTGCCCGCTTCCGTAACGTTGCATAGCATAACGATAGAACTAACTCTTTCCTGTACAATCATAAGCCAGAAATCATTCACTGTTACTGACATTGGCCCCTAAAATAAAATTATTTTTCCGGAATCTGACAATAAGCTCAAGGAATCTACCTTTTTTGTCTTGCAGAGTTTTTTAATCGATTACTTTAATTTTTGAAAATACGCCTGATTGATCTGGTGAGGTTGCTTGCTGCAGTTCTCATGCCCAAAGCTGAAGATTCGAATCCTTCATTGGAACAGCCAGTTTTTCTGTGCACTATCCGTAACAGTAATACACACGAAAAAGGCAAAAAGGTGACCAGCCTGTGTGCAAATGAATGAATTGATAAGCGGTTCGCCTTTGACATAATTGGCGTGGATGTAATCAGCGTCTGGATCTTTATCTTGGAGCACAACACGAGTATGGTCAAGGCAAAGAACATCTGCAACTTACACATGTTGTTTTTCAGGTATTTATTTAAATATTACAATAAAAAGTACCTCTCTTGACAAAGAAAGGATATGTCCAGAAGTTATTTTAAAACCATTTGCGTGCAAGGACAAATAGAGGCTCTCGCTTGTTAACTTGTGTAACCGTGCGTTTTTGACTCCCTAGCTTCTGCAGTATTATGTAATCACACGTACACGCACAATTTCCGTCTCTGTTCTGTAGTAGAAAAAGGGTGGGTTATTTTTTTTTTTGTTGTATGAATACTGTTCGACGATCTCCCATTTCAAAGCACAAATACACGAACGACCAACTCACTCTAGGCTTGTGAGCAAAATAATGTCCAGGACCACATCTTTGGAAATTCAAAGTAATAGCACGCGAAATGTTAATCAACAATTCGCGAGAAATTTACGGCCGACTTTTTTTTATTTTTTCAAAAGAATCAAATGTTCACGAGAATCCTCACTCTCAAGCAGCCTCTGAAGTATTCACAGTTCACTCAGCAGATACTAGGGTAGTGATACCGTATTTGGCCACTTAAATAACACTTTTGTTTTCCATGAAAGACGAGGTGCGAGTTTTTTAAATTGGCTTTACTGGAGCAAATAAGTGAGGGTGCGAGCCTAAATAGTATACTCACACTTCACGCAAAAAAAAGACAACCATTTTTGTAAAAAAAAAAAACCTTTGTAACGATTTTTGTTCATGTGTTTAAGAAATGCCGAATGTGAAAAGTTTGGCGGAATATACGTTTTCAGGTAAGTTTGATATTGCTGCAGAATTCCATCCACACCAAAGCCGAACACTTCCTTAACAATTTCTCTTCGGACAGAAAATAAAGATTTATGAGGAATTCACTTTAGAAATCACTGTTTTTTTCTTCTGCAAATGACGGCTCTTGTGTTCTCGAGCAGTCAGCGTTACTGAAATGCAATTAGCACTCTTTCCTGCTCAGCGTTCTCAATCTGGTATTCATGGCCTGATCAGTTTCATTGTGCACGCGTTCGGTTTTATCAGGATTCAACTGAGTGTTCGCTTATTCTTCCGCAAGTACCAAGCGGCTGCTCTTCAATATGCAGCAGTTAACAACAAAATGTCAGCAACATTTTCCACATATCGATTGTTTTCTGATCGTTGCGATTCATTTGTTTTTGGTAGAGTAACGTCGCATGATGTCAGATTCCTTTTTTCAGTACACAAATGCATTGAAATTTGGCTGCTTGAGCGGGATACTTCAAAAAGTCATGCTTCTTTTGTCATAAATTTTGCTATCATCACCATTATTATTATTGTTATTATAATTATAATTATAATTATTATTATTATTACTATTGTTGTTGTTGCTTTTGTTGTTGTTGTTAATATTCTTATTATTGCTAGTTATCATCCTGAGACATCGTTACAGAATTTAGGGAATGAAAAAATACCATTAAAAAATTGGCAAAGTTCTCTTTTTGTTCATCCGTAACTGGGTAGTCCCTTCCTTTTATTCCTTTCTTGACAGGTCTCTGTGATTCGTCCTAAAATTGCATAACCCTACTGAAACTGATAATATTGTAAATAAGCTTTCATCAGTTATTTCCCGTAAAGATTAATGGTTTACTTAACATCGGTGTCATGAAACACGATGACCTGTGTGTTCATTATGCTTCTGCACATGCACTAAAAGCAGTATGCATCTGCCTGCCTTAGCTTGCACCAAAATGTTCTCGGACCTTGATTCAAACTGAAGCTTTTGTTGTGTATGAAAAACAGAGGTCTCTGGCTCCATGCAGCCAGAAACAATGTTAAACGAAAACACGATTTTTTGGTTCCGATCAGCACGTTACAAATTGCAATAATCGATGAGCCATCATCTGATCTGTAACCACGCTGCTACGAGGAGACAAACTGGAAAACCGTGTTAACAAATGGGCCTACTGTTATCAGTGTAGCTCTAGCCATGAAGTTTTCTGGCGGAAATAAATATTTTGCTGAGAGTATTTTTCATCTAAATTTGATGACGCATTTCAAAAAATGAAACCTCCTCATTGTTTGATTGCTTTGAGTGGCAGAGGAGCTACTTTCCGAGTGCCTCTCCATTTCAATAGAAACAAATAAGGCGCTAAATTCTTTGGATGCTAAATCTAAGTAACACTGTAAAAACGGAATTACACAACATTTGCTACTAAAACGGGAGGCTTTATTTTCGGCTAGGCAGCTTTTTTAATGAATCTGCTTGCGACCAGTTCTGGAACAAAATTAAGCAATTAAGAGACCAACATCAGCCTTCTTTTTTTCTTTTTTCTTCCTTTCTCGTTTACTTTCACCTGTGCTGGTGCGTTTCTTTTTCCTCCATTCCCGTCGACTGAGAAGTGAAAAGAAGCCACCCTCTTCCTTCTCTTCCTTTTCCCTCCGTTTCCTCCTTTCCCGTTTACTTGCCGATTCCTCGACCTCAAGACTTTTCTTTTTCCTTTCACGCTTACTTGAACCATCGGCTAAAGAACAAAATTTTTCGAATCACAGGGTGTTTCCTGCTGCTAAGAATGAGCAAAATTTGTGGGCACCTCGTAGTAGAAATGATAATATCAATAAACAATGCAATAGTGTGTTCTTTTAAAGCAGGTCAGTACAAAAAATTGTCGAGAGCTGCTTCATTTATGCAGTCAAACTTGTTCGTGGAAGTGTAGTAATAAGGGAAAGGAGTAAGAAATATAAAGAGATTATAATCAAAGTCTTTCAGGCTTGTTATGCGTTTTTTGCAGCAATGCAATGCGAAAAACGCATATTGACGAGAGGTTGTCTGTGT